CCTTCCTTTTTCTCATCCTGTTTTCCTTCTCTCTGTTCATCCTTCTATATTCCCTTCTTTTCTCTTCCTTCCTTCCTGTCTCCCTTCTTTCCTTCCTACCTTCCTTTCTTCCTCCCTTCCTCTTCTTTGACCAAAGATTTGTCCTCTGAAACCTCCTTATCGTAGGAAAATTGACAATCTGGCTCAGCAATAACATTGTCCTCTGTCTCTGAAAAATCCTCTGTTTCTGAAATCTCTTCCTCTACATCATTGTCCCAGTTAAAAATCTGTGAAGCCTCCTCAGATGTCCTCCTTCTGGAGCTCATTTTTTCTGAGTTTGTCTAAAGCCTAGCGTACATCGACAGAGTAACTGGAGACAACTAGTTGCAAGGCGGCTGAGAGCAGATGATGGAGATGATCAGTTGCTGAAATCGGTCGATGTGAGCGCTCTTACAACTGGAGATAAACAGTCGATCTCCGGATTCAGTCAGTTGCCCGTGTTCTACTTTTCGGCAACTAGTTTTACTCAGATCCGGAGATATCACCCGATGTGCGCGCTCCAACAACATTTGTGTATTGCGTGTATTGCGCCCTCTACAGTTTATGTCAGAAAACACACTGTAGTTGAGGCCAGTTGCTGTCGATGTATGCGCTGTTATTCCCAAGACTGGCCTGCTACTAGGAGATGCCCGTTTTCACCACATTGTCGATGTGTGCGGGGCAGGAACTCAAAGGCAACGGATATAATCAGTTGCCAGTCCGATGTACGCTAAGCAAAAGAGATGACATGAGAACAGTGACAAGGAAAAGTGTGAAAAAGTTCCCTCTCCTCACACACCTGGCTCTGGGTCTCAGAGGCAATCAAAATACAATGTCAAAGAGACATGTTTTTTTGGATCTGAACAACTATTTACCCACATTAAAGCGTCTGGGTCAAAATGACCCGCAACATCATCTTTGTATACAAACTCTGCACAGACATTCCACTACCCATCAAAGTGTCCAGATTTTACACACCTGTTCATGACCCTAGATGAGGAAAAGTCACCAAATTTCAGCAAGAAAAAGAAAGGATAACTAGTACTTTGATAAACTCAAAAACTGAAATGGGTCAAATTGACCCTTAACATAATACAAGGGTTAAAGATGTTCTTGAATGCTTATGGAGGACAAGCTCCAACTTGTATATTCTATATTCCAGCATTTATTAACCCAACCACGTTCCGTCCCACCAACTCCAGTAATAACGACGAAACAAAGTCCTTCTATACACACACTTCCAGAACTTCGATTTCCACCCTTTTGCAGATAATAAAATATGCGTGGAATAATGAGGTGGCAGATGTGATCCCTATGCTCGCGCGCTTCCATGGGCTCCAGACGTGATGGCTTCTCATCTCAGCGTGGGACCAGCCCGCACCCACACGGTTCAAACAGCGCGGGAGTCAGGGGATCCATGGGACGCGCTGACAGGTAAGCAGGAGAGGGGCGCTTTGTACCATCCGCCCGTCACATCTGCTGCCGGAACGGTGAAACGGGAAATAGGAGAATCTGACCAGCTTTTATGTAAATGTGTGTGCGCTAGTTTTGTCAGAGTGAAAGGAGTTTGTACATGTTTAAAAGACATCTTTAATTTTATATTAGTGAAATTATTCTTGTTTTGCCACCATGAAACATCATTGTTCCTTATCTTTTTTAGCTCCATCTATGCTAATATGTGGACCTTCTGGAACAAATATGTTCCGCAGAGACCAGTGAGCAGCTACCAGACCAGAGCATGAAGAAGAAGAACCCTTAATTCTGGTAAAAAGCGACTGATCGCTTCTGACGTTCTGGATGTGGCTGTTTGAGAGTAAGTCTGAGTCCATTATTGCCCTAGAGACTTCTGACCTGAGTTAATGTTGACACCTGGACTGCCACACTCATTGATGCACGAGGGTCTAAGGCTGGTGGGAATTTCCGACCTAGTGACCAATATTTTTTGTATGAACAAAATCAAAAGCAGAAACAAATGAATACCATGGTTGAATTCTTGAAAAAATTGATTTAGAATAATTCACATGCCATTTTAGCTCAAAGTAACTTCTTACCATTAATGCAAAAAGTTCAGAATCTTCAGGGGTAAAATTAGGTTTATAGTTTAAATTATTTAAATTGTGGGCATGTTCACACTGGTGTGATTAATAATTCCCTTGGGGGAATAATAAATCAAACAGATGTGTTGTTTAAAAATTTGGGGTGACAGTAGCGAAGTTGGTAGAGCATTGGCCTTGGAGCCTAATGTCTACTGTCATTGTGTCCTTGGCAAGACACTTAACCTCTGGTAACACCTGATGCCACAGTGGGGCGTCTGCGGCTGTAAAGTTCCAAACTGCCGTTTTGTCCTTAGGCAAGACACTTCACCCCCTCTGCCTAGAATGAGTCTGGTGTGTGTGTGAATGGTTGGTGGTGGTCGGAGGGGTGGTCAGTGTGCCCCAGGGCAGCTGTGGCCACAGTAGTAGCTTATCACCACCGTGTATGGAGTGAATGAATAATGACATGTGAAGCTTCTTTGAGTGTCCAAAAAAGCCGATGCATTATTAATATTAAATTATGGGCATGATCCACCTGGTCTAATTAATTCCCTTGGCGAAATAATCAATCAAACAGATTTGTTTCAAATGATTAAAATTGACTGTCCACAGACAAATACTTTTAGCCCCAGCTGAATCAGAATTGTCTTAGTTAAAGTAAACCAGATCAACAAGTGTGGACCTGCCCTAAGAACAAAATCCTAAAGTCCTAATAGTTGGGAGCCCAGCTTAGATCTCCTGGCCATGAGTGTGTGGTAATAGCCGGTGCAGTAACTGACGCCCAGGAAAAGGATTGTGACACGCTGGCGTCATTTGTAAGAGCGCAGCGTGACTGAGAGACCAGAGACCAGGCCGTGAAATGGGAGACGTCAGACACACTCTGGTGATGTCATCAGATGAGGATGACAGGCTGACACCACTGTCACCGCTCCCACAATGCGCCGCTAATGAGACGAAAGGTCGGAGGCAGAGATGACCCATAGAAGGAACTGTTTGTGTGTTCTTCATCCTTACATTCTCTCTGCTCAAGTTTCTTAACAACTTTTGTTTTTTTTGTATGTGTTTTTCCTTTGTTTTTCCAAACAAAGATTTATTCAAAGCACAATTAATAATACAACCTCAGCTTATTTTGACACACAGTGACACTTTCCTTACTTTTCACCACAACACAACATTGTTCCTTATCAAAACCAGACTCCTCATCTGTTATGGCACAGTTATTGCTGCTGAGATCTTTGCAGTCTCCCAAAACAAGTTTTGACATTTGTTGTCTTTAAAATATTCCTGAGCTTTTCTCAAAATTTGTTTCAACCGCAACGTGTTTTAAATGGTTTGCATTGGGTGCTATAATTCTTAGTAGCAGCAGCAGTTGAAAGCGTTTATATGCTGCACATTTTTACAGAAAGACTTAAAACACGCTAAGAATGACAGTGCAGTGGATTTTCTACTCAAAACTAGTCAAAACAAGTTCTTATTGTTATGCAGTTACGGATTTGCGCTTGTATCTTTGGGCTCTCTCAGCTGTTTGATTCTTGAGCTTTTGATGTGTTAGTCACAGTCCTGCACTCTGAAGTTATAACTAAACTAATTAATAGTGCTGTCAAAAATATCGCGTTACTAACGCGTTAACGCAAATCAATATTAACGGCGTCATTTTTTTAATTGCGCGATTATTATTATTATTTTTATTTTTTACTTTTTATTGCAGACACATATACAGAAATAAAAAATAGAAACAAAGAAAAGGACTAGTTCAGATACACTGTACACAGAGATTACAAACAATATGTAGTTGGAGATACAGGGGGCCAAAGAAGAAACCCAGAAGGGCACATAGGAGGAGGGGGGGTTAATAAAAAAGGCAATACAAGCAAACAGTATACAGTCATAGATATACCGAAAGTAAACAGAGAAACAGCATAGAGTATTTACAGATTGTTTATCATCATCATAATGACACCATGATGTTTCTATACAGTCTATGGTCTATACCCACCCACACACACACACACCCACACAAATGTGTGACTAATTTGCGATGAATTGCGAGTTAACTATGGAATTCATGCGATTAATCGCGATTAAATATTTTAATCGTTGGACAGAACTACTAATTAACAATAATTTAGCTATAATACTATTACTATTGATTATAATTACAATAACTTTTGATTTGAGCAGTCCTGTGTCGTCCGTACAGGAAGTGAGTTTGAAGACACAACTAGCCATGTGCCACATGCGCAGTGGTTTCGGACCAAATAAACTGAACTTGCTGAACTTTTTGTTTGAGAAATACATTATATTTTTGTTTATAACTTGAGGTCATTACTTACTAGATGACTGACCCAAAGACGTTGTCAATCTTTTATAAGAATTATTATCCCTATGGAGATTTAACATTGGGAATGTTACTTCCTGAAACCTTAAGCTCTGTCCACTTTACATCTCCATTGGAATTAAAAAAATTCCAGGTTTCCCCTTGAGTACAGTTGCACACCACACAATTTTATTCATGCAGGAACAGGCATTCATTATATCTGCTGCGTCTGATAAAACGGCATCACACTTGTTGTGTTATTAATAATAATAATAATGCATCCTTTTATACATCACTTTTTCGGACACTCACTGACGCTTCACATGTCATTATTCATTCACTCCATACACAATGGTAAGTAACTACTAGTGTAGTCACAGCTGCCCTGGGGCACACTGACAGAAGCAACTAGTGTGTGTTATCGGCCACTCCGACCACCACCACCCATTCACACACACACACACACACACACACCAGACTCATTCTAATGTGGGTGAAGTGTCTTGCCCAAGGTGCCCCACTGTGGCACCTGGTGTTCCTTAAAGGTCTCTCTTCATTATTGAGCCCATTTGTAACCAGCACCAATTCATTTCTTTCCGACACAATCCCTGTAATAAAAGGAGCTTCCCACACTACCACCGGCTTTCCCCCTCTCGCCTCCAGTGCAGCGTGGACATCTGGCGGCCTGCTCCTCTGAACCTCGGAGGAACTCGGGGCTCCTCTTTAAAGACGTCACAGTGGATGAACTTCCCCGGCCGTGGGATCAGAGCGGACAGAGCAGGTAGGGCCAGCGCGCCAGCTGTACAAACAATCTTAAACAAACACCAACGCTATTTCCAAAAGGGAAGTCGGCAATTCACCCAGAAATTAGGCCAAAGTCAAGATGAAAACAAAGGTCCGTAACTGGATCTGGCCGTGCTCGTCGGCATAGGTCCGAACAGGTCTGCGGCGTGCGGAGGGTAGTTACGCTAAGTGCAGTCATGTGTACCGCCGTAACTACGCTGTCATTTCTCGCTCAACCCTGAACTTTCTAAGAGTCCTGGAAGAATCTGAAAAGGGCATTCTTGCGTGACATGTAAAAGACTTCTTACTCTTCAAGTTAAATAGTTCAGTGGTTTTTTTCCTTTCTCGTTCCCTGCGCGAGTCATGCATGTGGCATATGTTTGTCTTTCAAACTCTCTCTTTGCCACTGCTTCTCAAAGTGGGGGGTGAAGACAAATGTAAGGAATATGCATAAATACTGATGATGATGAAGACACACCAACAGATTTTCTAAAAAAGCAACTCAACGCTTGTGTTAAAGGTACACTGTAATTTTTATTGCCATCTAGCTTTGAAATTTTATAGATTTCTGGTTCTGGATTTGACAAAAAAATGTAATAATCTGTTTTATTTTATTATCATTTCTATACACAATACAATTTATTTTTGTATAGAATTAAATCACAACAAAAGTCATCTCAGAGGATTTAACAAAACCATTTAAATCACCAACACAGATCAGAGAATTAACACAAAAAGAATATATAACACATGTTGAAAAATGTCCTGGATCATCACCACAGTCCTTCTAGTTGGACTCTAACTGTCCAACAGACCCTCCTGCATCGGCATGGAAAAACTCACAAGAAAACTCAGTGGGAAAAAAGTGAGAAACCTCGGGGAGACCCACATATTGAGAAAGGGAAACGCTCCTCCCGGACGGACAAACTTTAGATCCAGGACAATCTGTGGAGCGCCTCTCCCCACCATTAAGGACATGTACTCCACCCGTCTCACCCGCAAAGCCGTCAGAATCACCAGGGACCCTACGCACCCATCACACAGGCTCTTCAGGGTAATGCCTTCAGGGAGGAGACTGCAGAATTTACGGAACAGTTCCAGTCGACTTAAAAAACAGTTTCATTCACAAGGCCATCAGGAAGCTGAACTCCCTGCCCTCCCTCCCACCCCTCTTCCCCCCCACCCCCCGCTCCACAATCAAGGATGAGAGAAATATAATTTCAAACCATTCACTTGGTTTGACAAATAAAACATCTTGAATCTTGAAATCCTAATAATGCAGACGGATAAAGTAGGAAGGAGGAGAGGATAGTGCTCAAGTTACCATACTTCTCCCAGAAAACTGACTATGCAGCTTGACTGAGATTTCCCTTTTTAAATTAAGGGAAGACAGTTTACCCTTCCCTTAGTCTTATCTTCCTAACCATATGCTAAACTAAAGTGGACTGATTTAGCCTAGCCTGGATCGTAGGGTTGAAGATGCAGCCTGACCTTGAATAGGTAGCTTCTAAATGCTCTGCCACCGACAGTGCTTTTTGAGACTTGAGAACCACAAGACATCTGGCGTTTTGCGAGTGCTTGGCTTGGTTGATATGACATCAACATGAAGATAAGAGGGAGCCAAGCCATTTATATACATATTAGGGGGAGACATGTCTTTTTTGATGATAAAAGTTGCCAATCACAGATTTAGACAGAAAGGGCAAGGAGATGTGTTTGTGTCAGAAGTTTATCCAGGTTTTTTGTTGTCACTGTATCAAAAACACATACACTTAAAGTAAAGTAGAATTAAAATGAGTCTTTTTTATTTAAATCACACCTTCATACAAGTGCATGGTTTTACAATAGGTTGGATGAAGCAGACGCTAATATTGTAATATTGCATGTCACTGACATTTCCACTTCAGAATCATAATTGTTTTTTGCCATTGTACATAACGGGAGGCCACAATTTGCTTTGGCTCAAGGGGCAAACAAGAGTATAAAGAGATATAGCAGGTCTTCATTTTAAAATAAAATGACTACTATACAAGTGGTAAACACAATAGGCATCTCACAGTGCATTAAAGTGACCTCTGCTTGTTACTGTTGGACCATAAGATGAAAATGACTCAAACATTCATGAATCACAACTAAAAACAACTTAAGTGGGTAGATGAAGAGGAGAATGACAGCACAATTAAAAGCTTAAGAAGGATTAAAAGCTCTTAAAAGTCTATTTTGCATAATCGGTGACCGTAGCGATGCGCATCCTCTGGGAGATACATGAGGTTGCGTAATGAGCGCCGCCAATAACGTGCTCCGCAGACACAGCCTCCAGAGGGCCCCGTCAAAACGCTCCCAAGGAATTTTCACAGCCACAAGGTCAGTGGCTGTGCTTTATACCGAGAGCGCCTTTACATGGGACGCACCGGGAATGTACAACAGGGCTGCGAGGTGTCAAAAAATTCAAGTGGAAGACGATATACAACTATAAAAGTGTCATAAAATATTCATATTCCTCCCTTGGGTCACAATATCACGTGTGACCATCAGAATTGATTAAAAGATCAGAAACTGATAATATTCCAGCATGTACAGATCTTTCATAATATTTCACTCATCAACCAGCTTTCAAAAAATACCTAACTTATAAAATTGGGTGCTTTTCCCATACTGATTTGAAAAAAGCCTGTCAAAAGCCTTTTTGCGGTTGTTTTCTTCAGGTTGAATTGAATGTTTGTGTTGATGTGTGCATTCTTTGAAGAAGTTGCTTCATTCACCAATTTCAGATTCGGTGTCCATATTCAGAAAATCAATTTGGTCCAAATTCAGTCCATGCCAAGTTCATGTTTCACTTGTGTCCATTTCCCTGGAGCGTACAGAAGACTTGACTTGAATCAGGGGCTCTCCGGGTTGCATGGTTTTATAACAAGGCATAATATGGGAGTTCCTTTCAGCGTCTGCCAAGCCACCCCCGGATATGTTCCAGACCTTCAGATAACCAAAACATATAGGGGAAAATTACTGACTTATGCAGAGTGTTGTAATGTTCAGCATACAGTAAATTGTCTTTCAAAAGAACCACAAAACCTATTTAAAATTGCACAAAAAAGTGTCATAAAAAGACACTTCCAGATTGTATACAATTTAAAGAGGTTTTCTCTGACACGTCAATGTGTAGGGCAAAAAGGTCAATAAAATGAGAACGAAAGAGACACTTTTGAAGTTTCATGTTCTCAGTTCTGCAATCTGTGATTGGACAGCAGATTGTATGCACAAGAAACTGGACTCTCCTACATCCGTCTGTCAGAAAGAGGTTGAAGCAATAAAATAACATTATCATTTTGAGGGATGGTATGAAACTAAAAAAATGCAATAGCAAGTATGTATTGTAACTACCTTCCTCCCTATTCTGTGTATCTGACAGTGTCTGTGGAAATGGACAATAAAGGTCTATCCATTGCCGTAAATCTGTCAGTTTTCCCCTGCTCCATACAAAAGGCCTGCAGATTCTTTAGTTCAACAAGAGACAATACCAATGTTAAAATAGTAATATAAATAACAGACACCAAACCTGATTTTAGATGTTATATTACAATACAATACAATACACACAATACATCCATCCATTTTCTTCCGCTTTATCCGTTGCCGGGTCGCGGGGGCAGCAGTCTAAGCAGAGACGCCCAGACTTCCCTATCCACACACACTTCCTCCAGCTCGTCCGGGGGGACCCCAAGGCGTTCCCAGGCCAGCTGAGAGACATAGTCCCTCCAGCGTGTCCTAGGTCTTCCGCGGGGCCTCCTCCCGGTGGGACGTGCCCGGAACACCTCCCCAGGGAGGCGTCCAGGAGGTATCCGGAACAGATGCCCGAGCCACCTCAACTGGTTCCTCTCGACGTGGAGAAGCAGCGGCTCTACTCCGAGCTCCTCCCGTGTGACTGAGCTCCTCACCCTATCTCTAAGGGAGCGCCCAGCCACTCTGCGGAGGAAGCTCATTTCAACCGCTTATATCCGCGATCTCGTTCTTTCGGTCATTACCCAAAGCTCATGACCATAGGTGAGGGAGGGAACGAAGATTGACCGGTAAATCGAGAGCTTTGCCTTTCGGCTCAGCTCCCTCTTCACCACAACGGTCCGATACAGCGACCGCATAACTGCGCACGCTGCACCGATCCGCCTGTCAATCTCACGCTCCATTCTTCCCTCACTCGTGAACAAGACCCCGAGATACTTGAACTCCTCCACTTGAGGAAGGACCTCTCCACCCACCTGCAGAGGGCAAGGCACCTTTTTCCGGTCGAGCACCATGGCCTCGGATTTGGAGGTGCTGATTCTCATCCCAGCCGCTTCACACTCGGCTGCAAACCGCCCCAGTGCATGCTGCAGGTCCTGGTTCGTTGGAGCCAACAGGACAACATCGTCCGCAAACAGCAGAGATGAAATCCTGTGGTCTCCGAACCGGACCCCCTCCGACCCCTGGCTGCGCCTAGATATTCTGTCCATAAATACAGTGAACAGAACCGGTGACAAAGGGCAGCCCTGTCGGAGGCCAACATTCACCGGGAACAGGTCTGACTTACTGCCGGCAATGCGAACACAGCTCTGGCTCCGGTCATACAGGGACCGGATGGCCCTCAGCAGAGGACCTCCGACCCCGTACTCCCGGAGAACCCCCCAAAGGACACCCCGGGGAACACAGTCGAACGCCTTCTCCAAATCCACAAAGCACATGTGGACAGGTTGGGCGAACTCCCATGAACCCTCGAGTATCCGATGGAGAGTATAGAGCTGGTCCAGTGTTCCGCGACCGGGACGAAAACCACACTGCTCCTCCTGGATCCGAGATTCGACCATCGGCCGTAACCTCCTCTCCAGTACCTTGGAGTAGACCTTACCGGGGAGGCTGAGGAGTGTGATCCCACAATAATTGGAACACACCCTCCGGTCCCCCTTCTTGTAGAGAGGGACCACCACCCCGGTCTGCCACTCCATTGGCACTGCCCCCGATCGCCACGCGATGTTGCAGAGACGTGTCAGCCAAGACAGTCCTACAACATCCAGAGACTTTAGATAGTCAGGGCGGATCTCATCCACACCCGGAGCCTTGCCACCATGGAGGCTACCAACCACCTTGGTGACCTCAGCCAGGGAGATGGATGTACCCGCCCCAACATCCTCAGCCTCTGCCTCTGTAACGGAGGACGTGACGGGGGGATTGAGGAGAACCTCAAAGTATTCCTTCCACCGCCCGACAATATCCCCAGTCGAGGTCAGCAGCTCTCCACACGCACCGTACATGGTGTTGGCAAAGAACTGCTTCCCCCTCCTGAGGCGTCGGATGGTTTGCCAGAATCTCTTCGAGGCCGACCGATAGTCATGCTCCAT